GGCTATTAAAGGCATAAAAGCCCCATAAATAATAAAACAATAATAAGGCTAGCCTAAAACTGACACAAGTGTAGCTTTGCTATTCTAACCTCTTCATTCACTTCAATAATTTATATTGTGCATTAAGGGGAGCTGAAAGCAGGCTTATCACTGGGAGTGTGAAATGTGATTCTTGAATGGATGTAAGACGCCATATTTTGCTGCTTTAAAATGCTCAAACGGTTTCTCAAACCCTACAACTTATGCAGTATGATACTATAAATGAGAGAATGACTCACGGCAGAAGTCTGGCTCCCTCCACTGATGGACAGGTGCACCTGCACTCAGGCAAGCATCAGTGTAAGCCTGAAGCTGGTCACAAAGGACCTGCTGCAGCCCCTGATAACTGCACATATCAAACACACAGCTCTGGAAGAAAGGCAACGGGTCCACCACCTTTATACAGTCCCTGTGAGGAGCAAATATGAGAGAAAGTGTGCTATTATTAAGCACTTAAAGTTTTCAATAGTCTTTCTAATAGTCTTTCTCATGTTAGAAATGGTATGAATAATAGAACACGCATATTTGTTATAAGCCATGCTGATTAATTTCAAATGGAATGATTCAACATTGTTTATTAGCAGAAAATGTCATAGTTTGGTAAGTCCTCCTAACCTAAATGCTCCATTTGATTCTCCCACTCTCCCACAGTTCTCTGGGTTTGACACGACACCCTCCAGCACAGGATCGCAGGGTGGTTGAGGCCCGGGGGCACCTGAAAACCTGAAAACACATCGTCATCATTAAGGCATGCGTGCATGACTGAGCATTTGAAGTCAACCTAATCTTAAATGTATTGCCCTGCCTGTTGTGCGGTTGATAAAATTAAGAAAAGTAAAAAGTACTGACGTTGCATCCTCATCCTCATCAGTTTGCCAGCTGTCGCCGAACTGACTTGAGTTGTCGGTTTGGGAGCCATCTGGCTTAGTGAAATCATTATTGGGGTTTCCGTCATAGTCCCCACACAGGCCACACATCTGGTCATAGTAGGAACTGATAAAATGAGAAACAAAATGATATTAATGTAAAGACATTCATTTCCCCAGAGACGCTTTTTGATTTTTCTTTTGCAGATTTTACTGAAGATCTACAACCCTTAATCATTGTGGGTCTTAGTGTTTTCTGCAAAATACTGTCAGTACTGTGTATATATATTCCAGTGAGGCGTTTTTCACATTTTCTTTACCTGGGAACAGAGATCTTGGCGTAATGATTGCCATCCCACTGCACCTTCAGGCCGAACGGAGTGGTGAGGATTACATATTGTCCAGCAACAGACAGTGAAATGAGCGGAGATGGGGAGTGAGGGAGAGACACCCTGAGTCCATTCACCTGAGTGTGTGGAAAAGAGATAAACCAGAGGTGAATTGAAGGCTAATTATATTTTTTTCTTTAAAAGCAAGATTATTCTTGGAAAACATAAAATTGTCATAAGGATAATGTTACTATGAACAGATTAGGAACAATTTAGAGAAACTATAAAATAAGAGGATAATAAGTGGATACTGACCAGAGTTCTCCTGTTTTTCATCATTGTCACAGTGATGCCATCTACAGTCACATAGAGTTTCCTCAAGTAAGAAACGCCAGAAACTCCTCTCTCCTCATTCTTGCCCTCAATGGAGAACCAGGGGCCTGCAGTCCCAAGATAGAAGAAAGTGAAGTTATTTTTAAAGCTGTACATGTATATTCTTATTTGAAATCACTTTTTAAGTTAATTTGGGGGACATTTAATGTACATTTAATCAATAGTAAGTGTACAATAGTTTGCTGCTTCATAACACCTACTGATGACCAAAGCACTCTAATGTTATTGCTGGTAGTGGAAAGTTGGCTTTGGCCATTTGCCTGACTGAAATTGGATGGATGGATGGATGGATGGATGTTTGAAAATTAAATGTAAACACATTTTCTGAGTTAACCAGAGTACTCACCTTGTGGGAAACACCCTATTACGCCATCCTGTACTCCACATTGTTCCATTGGTGGGCAGTCAGCAGCATTACAGGTAACAAATGGGGGGTTGCACTTACACAGTAGCTCACAGTCCTTAGTGAAGAACTCTTCACCTGGCTAAAACCACGGAGAGAGGGAAAGTCATGACAAATACTAATTGATCGACTATAACAAACCATTTCTGTCCTAAATGATACCACATTCAATTTCCTCACCTTATAATATTGTCCATTATAGCTGCAACCACAAGTGTCTTCTTTCACGCACTGGCCAGCACTGAGGATATATCCAGGGTCACAAACACATCCTTCAGAACAAGGCCCGGTGCACTGACTTGGTGGAATTGGATTGCAGGAAGGCTGGCAAACTGGTGCACATGATTCAAAGTGACTGTTGGCTGGGCATTTCAGAGCTGGAGAGGAAGAATGTGTGTTAGTGCTAATCATAATTTTGCGACTTTGCTCTATTTGACAGTACGAGAAATAGGACAAGCCATTCATGTCTGTATTTTTTGTCCAAGTTTATGGTTAAGGAATATGTATTTTTCAGACATACGACAGAAGGTACTGTTTCTCCAGGGTCCAATTGTGACGCCACGGTCCTGACATTCATTGACGTATGACTCTATTGCTTCACACAATGCAGAATGAGCACCATCCAGCTCACAAACATCAAACAAACAGTCTTGAAAGAAACCCTAAACACACAGGGTTAAGATCTGTAAATATCTGTTGTATGATTAAGCATTCAAATTCAAAAGCATTTCAAACTAACAGATTTGATTTCACTCACATTGGGGTTGACTTTTGGATGGCAAGCAGCAAAAGGGCCATTGCTGTCCAATATGATACCACAGTAAGCAGACCCTTCATACAACTCCTGCTCAGCATCTGTACACCCTGGGGGTGGGCCAACCTCAGGCTTGTTACACCTGAAGGCAGAATCAGAGGTGAGTTCTCTATGGTTAATAGAGAAAAGGCTTAGTTGTAACATTATGTGTCTTGCATAGTGCCTTACTCAGGGTCTATGTTCCAGCTGTGGCCAAAGTCATTGGGGCTTTGGACCAGTTCACCATTTGGTGTCTGGAAGTCATCCTGAGGGTCTCCATTGTAGTCCCCACAGAGCCCACAAAGTTTGCCCGCATAGCTGTAAAATGATCACAAGCATGTAGAGATATTCAAAAGTGAATCAAGTTATATAAGCTCTAGTTCTGTCAGGATTGCCAACTGGTTTGTTTATCTGCATGTGTGTATATTCATGATATGATAAGATTTGTAAATGTACCAGTACATGTGCTCAAAACTTTATCTTGTATAAACTAGTACTATAATTGTTACCGCTTGGTTTGCAGACATAGTCTCCATCTTGAAGCTGGCAGCTCTCATTAGGAGGACAGCTGGTGTCATAACAGTGAATATTTCCTCCACCCTCACATGTACAATTCTGCGTACAGCCCTCCAGATACCAGCTCTCGTTTACCTAAATATCAAAAGACATTTTTGCTATGTTTTTATGAATGTTTAAATCAATTGTTTTCCAATTTTACATCAGTCAGCCTTAGTGTTAAACTCACTGGATGGTAGGAGCCTGAGGAGTCCACACAGCCGCAGTCTTTAACAGGAACACATTTGTTGTCACTGAGGATGAAGCCAGGGTTACACTCACAGCCTTCAACACACTTCTCACTGCAGCCCGGGGGTCCACTGATACCCAGACATGTCTCCGGACAGGAGCTCACACATATGGAGTAATGGCTATTGGGAGGGCATTCCAGAGCTGTAGAAAAATTAAGGAAAACATCATTAAATGATGGAAAAGGCTAAAGTGGGGGTGCAGTTTGGACTTTGCAGTTTCCCTGTCTTATGTCCCTGTCCCTCTCTGACATAATTTGTCTGCACCACCCTGGCTATTAAAGGCATAAAAGCCCCATAAATAATAAAACAATAATAAGGCTAGCCTAAAGCTGACACAAGTGTAGCTTTGCTATTCTAACCTCTTCATTCACTTCAATAATTTATATTGTGCATTAAGGGGAGCTGAAAGCAGGCTTATCATTGGAAATGTGAAATGTGATTCTTGAATGGATGTAAGACGCCAAATTTTGCTGCTTTAATATCCTCAAACGGTTTCTAAAACCCTACACCTTATGCAGTATGATACTATAAATGAGAGAATGACTCACGGCAGAAGTCTGGCTCCCTCCACTGATGGACAGGTGCACCTGCACTCAGGCAAGCATCAGTGTAAGCCTGAAGCTGGTCACAAAGGACCTGCTGCAGCCCCTGATAACTGCACATATCAAACACACAGCTCTGGAAGAAAGGCAACGGGTCCACCACCTTTATACAGTCCCTGTGAGAAGCAAATATGAGAGAAAGTGTGCAATTATTAAGCACTTAAAGTTCTTCATTGTCTCATGTTAGAATCAGTATGAATAATAGAGCTTGCGTATTTCTTATGATTCATTTAAAATGGAATGATTCTACATTTTTGAGCAGAAAAAGTCATAGTTTGGTAAGTCCTAACCTAAATGCTCCATTTGTGTCAG